GTAGCTTCGCATCCAATTCCCCTTAAATTGGTAATAGAAAAATATGGACTCTTTAGGATCAGCACATGGAACTATCTCTGAATTAGCTTTTCTGTTTACCATATGGTCAAACGGTTTGACCTTGGCCGATCCTTTTCCATTGGGAAAAGAAACCTTTTCTGGACTACCATTGTCGCCATTGTCATTGTCCACGGAAATTTAGGAGACAGGTCCTTCAAACATGTTTGCTTGAATTGTGCTCTTAAGTATTTCTGGTTCAGCAGCAATCAACATATATGTTAGATCAATTAGGGTCACGTCGTGGTCCCTCGTATAGTAGTATTTAATGAACTGACTGTATGACTCAGGAAGCGAAAGTAGAACCAAGTAAATGGCCAGCTCCCTTGGGAAAATGACACCCAACATACCCAATCTGTCAATGTGCGATTTAATTTTCAGAACATGCGCACACACAGACTTTCCATCTTGATGTTTACATGCCAACATGGCTTGAGTAACTTCGTATTTTTCAGCTTAAAGGAAACATGAATTAGGGAGAGTTACTGGACGAGGAGGAGGAAGAGTTGAAGAAGCATGATCTTGAGTTCCGCCATTGCTCAAAAAAGGGAACATTCTTTCAATTTGATCAACATGTGGAAGATCATCTTAAGATAGAGGAAAAACATTTCTAGAAGAACAAGAAAGACCATTGTTGTCTGAACTTGACATCTATAATAGGAGAAAAGAGAATTCAAGTTAGTTGATTTTAATCCTTAATTACTAACCCATATATTTAAATTAAGGTTAGAATCCATATTTTCGATTCGAATTTTGAAGAGGGATGCTGAAATCATATTCGAATCTATTTTAGGTAAGTAAGGCATTTACCAATTTCAATCTCATGAAACTCCTAGATCATTTGAGATTCATTGAATCTAATCAACGGCATGTTTAATCTCGATTATGCTCTCACTTTGTGACTGGGATACCGCGGATCACAAACGAGATGTTAATAACCATGCAAATTAGCTTGGTACTCTCGATGTCATGTATCATCTCCTTTTAATGTGCCGGTTAACCACACACGCTCCATTAATCAATGATAATTTATGAGACACCCATTGCCAATCCTTATTAGTCCATATTAGTATACCGGTTAACCACACACGCTCCACTAACGACCAATAAGGTGTAATGTGTAATTTCATGGATTAGCATCAAATTCACATTTTTCCTAAAGTAACTAAGAGTGGTATTTTAGAAAATAGTTTAGTTATTTTTCATCATTATACTTTTAATGAGGTTATGTCTCATCAAACCCATTCGGCTAACGACCCTCCATAAATCAAGGAAGCAGTGGGTGAGAGTGGACACTCATTCAACTACCATTTTATAGGCAGTTTCTTTATACCTCCCTTATAGATCGGCTTCGTGAATGAGGCGTACTAGCGGTTCGACTGCTATTCTTATACATATAATATCTATTAAACCTTTAATTATATACATAGTATAAGGTGTATTTTAAAATATTTTATAATTCCAAGGGTTTAATATTTTAATAAATTATCTTTTAATTTAATTAAATTTAAACCATATTATGGATTTGTTGATTATCTTTTAATTAATCACTTAATTAAATTAATAATAAACACATCAGGATGTATTTTAAACTTTTTCAAAATACTTGGGTTTTTAATTCTTAATTTCAAAATTAAACAATTTAATTTAAATTTAAAAAGAAAAAACAAATGATTTAATAATTATCTTATTAATTAAACACTTAATTAATTTTATTAAACCAATTGAGGATTATCCATTAAATTAATCAAAATATATTAACCTAATCCACTCCCCCTAATTTTCGAAAATCATAGGAGGGATGATTAAAATTTTGTAATTATCCAGTTGATAACATAAAGAGATAATTACAAAAAATAAGAAAACCCTATCATTAAACTCTAATTTTCAAAAATATCAAATCTTGGGTAGGAAGCCAAGGATTTCAAATCCTTTCCATATTTCTAAATCTAGAGGGTTAAGGAAACCCTAAAAATTCAAAACTTGTAGGGCAAGGGAAAGTGTTAAAATACTTTCCAAAATTTTGAAACCAAGGGTTAGGAAACCTTAATTTCGAAAAACCTTAAGTCCAAAAGGGTTTAATAGCCATAAACCCTAATTGATCAAATCCAAACAATTTCAATCAAATTCAATAGAAAACAAGCCAAGGCTCTAATACCATTGATGGGTTTTGAGAATAACAAACAATTCCTATATGTGCATGCAACCCTAATTTCTTGGATCAATGTTTTCACTAATTGAACAAACAACTATTCAACGTCAAATGGAAAACCCTAGGAGGTACATGCTATTTTCGAAATTCACATAACTAGGGTTATAATACATACCTTAATTGTTATATTGCAATAACAATGAATTCCTAGTCTTCTTGAAATCTTGAGAGCAAGCGTCACAAATGTCACGCCTATAATGGTTCACACCCAACACTAGTAAGATGATGAGAGAGGAGATGAAGACTTGAGATTTTCGGCAATTCCTCTAAGGAATCAAGTGGCTGAAAATGAGAAGGGGTAAGGCCATTTAAATAGGTGAGGTAGCTTAGAGCCAAAGCTAGGGTTTTAGGAAGAAACCCTAATTCCCTTAGCTTAGGGACCAAGTAGCCCAAGAATCCCCATCGAAGAGCCCTTGGACGAAAATTCTAGGGGCTTCCTAGAGATTTTCGTCCAACCTCTTATAAGGAGGTTCCAGAGCCAATTTCCTCAACTATCAATAAATTGCCAAATAGCCATGCACTTTTAATTAATACAATTAATCCCAAAATAAATTCCAATTAATTTCTGATTAACTATTAATTAAATTATATGATTTCTAATATATATATTATTTTCATAATACATTAATAAATCAATTATTTCAATTTATTAATCAAATAATAAATTCAACCTCTCTCCAAAAGTCATCCTGTCTAGTTGCTAGTTTGAGGGCAACCCAAAATGACTGTGCTACCATCAATTCAAGTATATATCAATTATATTTATGTTCTTAGACACCTAATCCAACAGAAAGTTCAGGTGGGAAACCAACAAACAGGTATCATCGGACCACTAAACTACACTTCCCAACCAAACCTCCATACGACAGACAGGAAATGAAATTCATGGAATCCTTACCGGAATCAGAAACGCCTTTGGATGTGTTTGTTTCAACCTATTTTTTTTTCTTCTGTGATGCGGTATCAGCAGAATAAACGGTGGGGATTTGGGGAAGCATATGAGAGAATATGTGAGACGGGTGAAAGAGACGGGGATAGATGATCTAACAAAAATCTAGTGGGTGAGAAGGCGGTGGAGAACAACGACATGGTTGGATGTATTCAACGGTAGATTTTAAGAGGCATGGTAAAAAGGACCAAAGTTATGAAATTGTGAAAATATGGTGGTCAAAATCTGAAGAGTAGAAAAGGAGTTGTTCATAAAGACAATGAAAATTAATAGTATATATAATGGTTTTGTTAGTTGTGTTTAACATTGTTTAATGGTTTTCATAAACAAAATGAGGTTGCTAAGAGTGAACATCGATCCGAGTAAATGCTTCCATTGATGTTTGTAGATATTCACAATGAGTCTGAAATGTCTCTTTTTAGAGGAAATTTATTGGAAATATTGAATTTGATTCGGAAATAAAATGAGTGTGTATATAAAGTTATATAAAGAAATGTTATGATGAATAATCAAATGGTGACTCCATATATTCTATATATTTTTTTTATCAATTTACATGGTCAACAGTCAACTATACACTCATTTTGACTTTCAGGCTGGAACAGTCAACTATGTAATCCTTTTGACTTTCAGCTGGATCTGCCACTACCATGCAACTGCATACCATAAACTATTTATTTTGATTTTGGAACTACTTCATTCTCTCTCTATCTCTAACAATTAGTTACCTGACTAATTAAGTGGGATATATGCAAAAAAAAAATGAATTGTCATTTTCATTCGCTACACATTATTCGTGCCCTAGATATATATTTACAAGATGGGAAAAAGATAATTATGTATTTAAACAATCTTAGGTAATGATTAGAATGAAGTGTTGCATCTTATGAGTTTGAACGACCAATTCATGTAGTTCATCTGACTCCTATTACACTAAACGAAATGGGTTGAAGTTTCTTATGCGTGCATGGCTGATTGCCACATCATAGTGAATACCATTTCCTATAGTTGGTGAGAATGTTGTGGTTGTGGAGTAAAGTAGCAGGAGTCACGGAAGCTTTACAAAGTCTCTTTCTCTCTTTTTCCGGTCTCTTTCTTTATCTCTTATTTGTTTCTCTGTATTTATTTATTTTTTCTTCTTTTTCCAACTCACTAGTAAGTTACTAATGAATACCATTTCGAATGGTTTGTAAGTTCATATTTTAGATGAGGTGGCACATCTTAAAATCTTCACCCATAAAAACCATTCCGTTTAGCCTTAACTACTAATTGATCAAGACACTAGTAAATAAAAATTAAGTAATTAGAGTTTCAAATTAAATCACAAATTTGCATCTCATTGTTTCATACAATCCTGACGATTTTCCATATAAATGTTGATTTTTTGCAACAAAAATTTGGAAATAAAGAAAAGGCAACAAAATTTCATTTAAAAACCGCACCATTCTAACATTAGAATGACCCACAACACCACTTTATTTCGGTTATAAACCGAAACTGTACCGATACAAATTGAAACCGTATGAAAAACTGCAAAGCTGAAGTGAGACAAAAACAACACCTATCGGTTTGCGGTTCGGTTTGGTCCAAAACCGAACTAGACCGCACCATGCTCACCTCTACTTTAACCTACAAATATCTATAATTGTGCTGCAAGTTAAATGATATCGATCAAAGAAAATACTCATTCATAATAAGGATAATAACAATTACATAACATCAACGAAATCCACAAATACCAATTTATTCATCATTGGAACTTTATTTCTTATGAAGATAAGACACGACAATCACTTGTTTAATTATCAGTACATGGGAACAGAAGTTATGACTAAGAGAGTAACATACTCCACAGTGGTTTCTTCTGGAAACGTGAACCTGTCATTATACCTATACACCATATCTGTTATTCTGGCAAGATTAAGAACTGGTACAAGCAGTGCCATTGAAACTTCAGTCGACTTAAGACATTCATTATTGATATCTTTCCACGCATTTTCAATCATTTTCTTGAGTTCTTTAACAGCCACATTTTCTGGTAACCCAAACGTCTTCATATATGTATGCACGGATTCGACTTCCTGTGCTCTTTCACCCTCAAACTTCATATACATATATTTCAACTTGTTAGATAATATTAATTCTTAAGGAATATAAACTCTAAACTTGGTATGATGTTTAGTAGTGAAATAACCAAAACCTTGATTTACATACATTAGTTTTCAAACCAAGATAACAATAATGGTTAATTTCTTCATCTTCATAGATGATATTGGCAAATAACAATAACTAAAAGTGACATAAATATCTTCTTGGTTTTATATGTAACCCTAAAAGTTTTTGAACATGATTTGTCAATATTTGCCTTGGAACATATATCTTTGATCAATAAAAAGTAAAATATATGATTTATATACCTGGAATGTTGTAACATCATTATAAAGTCTTCCAAGTAGCTTTGTAGCTTCCAGAATATTTGGATGTGTTTTATACCAACCCAAAGCCTCTTCGCTGTTAATTTCATCCATATTCATTAAAGAATATGTCGAGAAAACATTATAAGTAGATGTAATTAACCCATTTTTCATGTACTCTTGGTATGATGGCACATATTTACTATATCTCCACTCAGCCTCTTGATGGTAACCTCTAGCTAGTTCTTGAAACTGGTTGACGATGACATAATTAAAGAAAAAAATAAATAAATATGTAAATAGACAAGAATAATTAAGTTGGTATTTACATGAATATACTGGAATGGTATCATACCGCTTGTTTTGAAGCCTTAACCCGATTTTCTCTTCCTTCTTTAGGTACTTGCTTTTCAACTTCAGTAAGCTCATTCAAGATAATTTTGTACAGTGGTTTAATATATTCTGGTAGTTGCTCCATGGCACTAATTTCCCACCTGAAAATGAAAGCAAGATAGTACCATATTGTTAGTATTAGGCATAGTGTTCAGGATAGTAGCATATTCAATAACAATACCTATTAATGGCGTCAGTTAGAAGTCGAAGCTCCTCAATAGTACCATATGCATCATATATGTCATCTAACACTAACACTAGTTGTGCCATTTTTGATATTATGATTCTAGCCTGAGAGTAATGAGGCTCCAAGAATATCCCGACTGCCCATAAGTACAATTCTGGCGTTCTATCCCTTGCGTAAGGAGTTATTTTTTGAAAGTCCATATCCTTAACCCACCTGAGAGAAAATAAAAAATATGTTATTTCACACATATAACTGATCTTAGACTTTGATATGCCTTTCAAAATTTCATAAGAGCTCTCTTACTTCTATAATAGTACTCATTAATTGCTTCAAGAGTTTCCCTTATATCGCATATCAAAAACACATAAATATATATCATATGTTTATAGAATTTTGTGGACGTCCAAGCATTAGAGATGCTCAAAGTAGAAAAAAAACATATATGTAGCAAGAAATTGGGTAATTTATAACTTACTTAATGAAAGTGGAAAGTTCTTCCTTGTGTAGTAGTTGCAAGTAGTTGAAGTGTGCATTTGCAAGATTTAGTAGCGAGTCATATCTGGAACATTCTTCTTTATAGTTTGAGAAATATAACCTTGTCTCTACCATTTGCACTCCTCGATGAGAAGGACTCCTCAACGCATGTTTCACCTGTTGTAAAAGATTACCTTCCAGAGTGTCTACTACACCCATAAGTTGAGCTTCGGTAAATGCCATTGCTTCATCTAAAATAGATTCTTCTCTCATGCACATTTGAGTTGCTTCATACAAATTTAACATACCCCTCACATCAGCTGTAATGTACTCCTTGAATTTACCAGAGCTAGAGTCCTTGAACTTGTTAAAAACATCTGTACAATAGTTGATAGTTAATAATGTACTTGTTCCATATCAAATAATTTTAACAAGACAGAAACTGTTCTCTAATAAGTGGAAAAAGAGGCATACCACATGACAATTTATAACCATGTTGTCTGAAAACTTGGAAGTTAATTGAAATAGTGTAAAGATCAGCTTTATCATAATCCTCCATCTTAAGTTTCGTGAAAAGTTTATCAAGTTGACATTCAATCTGTTCCTCAAAAAGATATCTCAATCCAAGGCGATACACAGAGTTAATCAAACGTAGTTTTTCATTTGAATCCATGTTTGGATTGATTATCAAACTTTTCAGCTCTTCTTTTGGTTGCTCCATAGCAATAGCATATGCATGCGACTCCTACAAAACGAAACCACGTCATTTTAACAAATTAAAATCGTAATATAAAAATTCATTTTCTACATATGTGCATGTATGTTTTGAGTTAGTAATTAATGGGAATTCTTACTGAATGGTCGAAAGTTAACGACATTAAACGATCACCCCAGATAGAAGGAGGAAATTTGACATAAGGGCGCACTGGATTTGAGGTGCTTTTGTAGTTTTCTTTGAGGGTAATATTACATTCAAGTGTGGCCATTTCTTGAAGGTGAATGCTAGCTTTAGTGAAGCCTCTAATTTTTTTTGAAGTTATAGTAGACCACAACTGCAATACAATGGGTATTTATACACGATGCATCTCGATGCAGGAGTTATGATGACTTTTCTAAGGGCCGTTGGCCCACAAGAATCAAACCAAACGCTTCTTTTATATTTATAGAAATAGTCGTTATAAACTTACAAGTTTGACCCATTACTTTATTTAGTATGTTATGTTTGCATCCTTTTATTTTTAATTATTATTTTTTACTTTTATTATATATATATATATATATATATATATATATATATATATATATATATATATATATATATATATATAAATAAAAGTTCAAATGAGAACAATTATATAACTGAGAACACGAGAACAAATCTGGACCACATATTTATTTTCTTGCCGTAAAACTCTCCCACGTACCGGTGCGACGGAACAATATAATATTCATATGTGACTAAGTATATCTTGAATATATAAAGTATATTCATATATGAATAAGTATACGTAGATTCTTAAGTGATTATTAATAGTGAATATATATATATATATATATATATATATATATATATATATATATATATATATATATATATATTTGTTCATATATGAATATTATTTGTTCCGTCGTCCGATACACTGGAACGGTTAAGCGGCAAATTTGCAATATAAGAGAATATATTTAACTTTATATTCACATATGATTATTATGTTCTTCCGTCATGCCGATACGTTGGAGAGTTTTGCGGCAAAAAGAAATATATAACCCAATGGTGGTTGCGGTGGTGGTGGTTTATATTCACGTATGAAGACAATTTTTTTATTTTACTAAAACGAAAATGACCAAATTAAAACACGATAAAAACAAACAACATTACAAAAACAAAAATAATAATAATAACTAAAACTTTACTTTATTTAATTCATAATTAATCGTACTAAACACGACAAACACATGTTAATATTATGTTAGTTTCGTTTCGAATTTTGAACACGGAAACGACACGGCACGACGTCATGTTTTTTTATATTTGACATGAACACGAAAGCAAATGTGAAAGTCATTGAAGTGCATCACGAAAAACTTTACGTTCATTGAGGAAGAAGACTTGCAAATCAGATTTATAACGAGACTGACATTTGTCATCCAGAAGAACCTAATATATGGAAAATACCATCAACCAAATCATAACAGAAAAAATGTTGTAAATATTCAAACCAAAATTTAATACAGCGTAAACTATGTTTTTATGTTATTGATCCTATAGCTTCATGTTTATTCGTATTGTAATTAACTTATCGGCTGTGAATTATATGTTTATTTGTTGTTTATATAATAATAATAATATTCAATATTGATTTGAAGTTATATTATGTTGATAAGGGTTAAAGTTTGTAACTTTAAAAGCCATTTCTTTACATTGTGAATTCTGTAACCAACAGCGAACACCTCATCTGTACAAAGCTTAGTGGGACGTGGCTATGGAAATAACCAAAGAAAACGATCACCAATTTTGACTTTTCATTTTGGAACCATAGAGAATGAAGTATCGTAAGGTCTATGTCTACCCAGTTATCACGAATAAAATGTGGTTTAATAATGGGTATCATTATATGATTGAAACTTGAAAGCCATCAAGCCATCACCATGCATGTCGGGTGTTGTTATTTTAATTGACTAATTCTAAGAATGCGTTTAATTCATGATTTTTGTTTGGTAGCCATCTAATCGGAGATCTTTCATCCATTTAATCAAATAATTTTTTATTATTTTTTTTTTTACCAAAGGGCATTGCATTACAAGAAAAATCATAAATTGCTACCGAACCAAAATCCGTAGTTATTCTACTACGGAATATGCTACAGAATGACTTATTGTAGCTATTTTGCTACGAAATTGGCTACAGAATTGCAATCCGTAGCTAAATCCTGAATAGCTACGGATAGTTACTATGAAATCAAAATTTGTAGCTATTCTACAACGGAATATGCTACAGAATGGCTACCCGTAGCTATTTTGCTACGGAAATGGCTACGAAGTTGCATTTTTGTAGTTAAATCTTGAATTGCTACCGAAAGTTGCTACGAAATCAATATTTATAGCTATTTTATTACGAAATATGCTACGGAGTTGTTAGTCGTAGCTAGTTCGCCATGGAACTTGTTACGGAGTCTATATATGTAGCTAGTTGGCTACTAATTAGGGGTGAGCATGGTGCGGTTTGATGCGGTTTTAGGTCCAAAGCGAACCGCAAACCGCAAGGTGCGGTTTTTGAATTCTAGAAACCGTTGGGTGCGATTTTTCAATGGTTCGGTTTTGCAGTTTTTGAGTGCGGTTTCGGTTTGTACCGGTTCGGTGTTGGTTTTAAACCGAGTCAAACATATGGTGCGGTTTTTTATGTTCACCGGTATGATTTTTTTAACCGTGGTGCTCATGTGAAGATTTATGATTGTATGATATGATGTCATTTCGTTTCCACACATTTAGAAGCTGTAATTTTGAGTTTTCTTATGTTGTTTACTTGATCACTTCATTTGCAACCTATATTCCCAAGCTTATTTTTTTATTTAATTTGTGCTTAGAAGTTACAAACTTGCAAGTTATAGCCCACATAGTGTTTACACTTTACACATAATCATTAAGTCATAAACACAAAGTGACAAACTCACACATTAAACTGAATACCTAATTACTAATTACCGTCAAGTTCAATATATAATATATGTATAAATTAGAATTTATTAGTTTTTTAAATAATATGTATAATTGTATAATATAAATTAGTGATTTATTTTATTCTTAATAAGTTTGCGGTGCGGTTCGGTTTTGGTGGTCCGATTTCTAGATAAAAACCGCACCGCACCAATAAATTCGGTTTTTCAAAAAAATAAAATCCGCACTATCGGCTTTTGCGTCGGTTTCGGTTTTTCGGTTGCGGTTTATTGCGGTTTTTGCGGTTTTTCTTTTATCGGTTCGGTTTTTGCTCACCCCTACTACTAATTGGCTACAAAATCAAAATACGTAGCTAGTTGGCTACGAAATTGAAATTCATAACTATTTTTTGCTACAAAAATTTGCTACACAATAAAATTTTGTAGCTAATCTACTATAGAACTTGTTACCAAAAGCTTGTCGTATGTATTTTTGTATAAAATTTGTTTTTGAATTTGCAAAACAGTTAAAAAATCAAAATTCATTAAAATTTTGCAACGGAATATTCCGCAGTCAAGTAGTTACGTTTATCTGTAGCACAATATAGAAATTTTTATAACCTACTATTATTAAAAATACATAATCATTCTTAAAAACTCAATAGTAAAAATAAATTGTTATTTTTAGTTAAGTTATTATTTTAATTATAATCCAATTTATATATATACTAATTTTGAACAGTTCTTGCATCTAATTGGCCGGAATTTTTTTTTTTCTTTATTTGTTGAACTTGCTTCCTATTGGGCCACTTATAATTTTTTTTTTTGTTTTTATTCTTTTTCTCCAAGAATTCCCTGTTGATTTTATCTGTTACTGTACACGTGTTGTGGTTAGAGTGAAGGTACTGTTCATCATTTACACGGGTCGTCTTCTCCTTTTCCTTTACCGCATCCAGTACCTTCCCACAATCTCTGTCTTTTCCATCGCTAATCTTAACTTCTACCACTTCAGACCATCCGTTCTCTTCCAATCGCATGATGCTCTTTCGCTCTCCTTTGCCCTCAATCAACCTCCATCCCGTCCTCCTTCTATCTCCCCAAATTCCACCGTCCTCTTCTGATCTCTGTTCATGGCGGACAACCACCATTGCGATTCCCAGAAAACCTTTACCTCTACATCGATTGAAGGAGAATCTGTGTCAAATTTTCCCTCCGACTTCTCCACTGCTGGGACATATTTTCTATCTTATCAAATTCTTTCCTTCTCCTCTATACCCCAAAATCCGATTGTTTTATTTCGTGGGCTTCATTTTAGAAGTTAGCAAATCCCAAGTAAGTTCATCATTTGCACTGTACAATGATTTCAATTTATGTGGTTTCTTAAGCTCGGATCTACATGAGTGCTCCAGTAAAGGGGAAATCTGGATAGATGATTCTGAGCCCTATTTTTCAACTTGAGGATTGTCTATTACTTTTCACTCTGAAAATTTGTTGTCTGCTACCCTCTTTGTCCAACAGTTGTTCGAACGGGATTTCTAACCTTCTGTGTCGATGAAGCACCTCAACCAGGTAGAATACTGAAAGTTCCGGTTATAAAAAAGATGTTTCTGTTATTAATTTGTATGTAGTAATTCTTTGTTCATCTATTTTAGGGCTTTTTGTATAGGGAGACCACCAACACAGGAAGCAAGAATCAATGACGACTAATGACACCTTCACAGCAGAATGGAGGTGCATCCTTCTCTTTCTTTCTCTATACTCTCTGTCATCTCTGATATAATTTCTTATCATCACCACTAGAAATCACCAGTACGTCGAGGGTTTGAAGCGACGCCTCTTGCAAGGGGTTGCTTCTCTTTGTTTCGCCATCATCACGCCACCGACCTCCACTTGCTATTTGGTTTTGATAACCAATTGAGGTACATATCAGAATATTGCTCTAAAAACTTAGGGCTTCTGCATTTCTACCTTTTCAGCTTTTGCTTTCTTGACTTCATTTTGTGTATGTATTGTAGATATTTGGCAATTTTGATGTTTTTGTGGAAACCATTGCTGCTATGTCGCTTATCATACAATCCTCACTCCACCCTCTTCCCTAATTTTTAAACATTAAACTAATATATGTTGTAAGAGGTTTAATATTCCGGTATAAAAGCAAAATGTTTGCTAAGATGACACACTTTTAGTAGAACTGTTAATCACAGTTATGATTTAAACTCGACACTTTTGACTTTGTTTCTTTTGGTTTTACAACTTCAGTTGTTTCTTTTTGTTTTACAACTTCAGCTATCAACAACTGCGACTGTTCTTCAGGTTCTGTTGTAAAGTTAGTTTACTATGACGTTTGTATTTTGTTTTTCATTTCTATTTTTCACAGT